AGGGAATAATTTCTGATGGGGAGACTCACGCGGGCTCCACGGAAACGGGTGGTTTGTTGTTTTTTATTTACCGAGTTTGTATCTGCGGGAGAATGTTTCCTTGTTCGAAGGAGGTACCTACGTTCTCCTTTCCATGGGCATGGCACCTCGGCTCAGGCAGAGGGAGGAGTATGGCCAAGGCCCCTGCACCATCCTCACCCCTAACCTCTCCTGGGCTTCATCCCTCCCTAAGATGATGCAGACCAGAGCCCCCCACCCCAACCCCAGAGTGTGAGGACGCCTGGGGGGCAGGGGGCCAGGGCCCTTTCTGCCTGCGCCTGCCTTGCTGAGGGCAGAGAAGCGCGAGCCCTGTGATCTCCAGAGTATAACCTTGCCTTGGGCAGGGCTCCGGTGGGCCTCTCCTCCCAGGTGGGAACCTGGGAACCACCAGGTGCAGCACAATCAGTAGCCAGCCCCAGCCCAAGGCAGCTGGTGGTATCCCAAAGCCCCTCACTCCACCAAACTCCTGCCTTGATTTCTCTGAAAGGGTTCCTGACCTGCAGTCCCTCCACGACTGAGGCTGGACCAGACACGGCTGGCGGCGGAGGGGCCCTGGCACTTGATGGGCGCCCGGCAGTCCGCAGGGCACGGTTCGCCTGGGTCGGGAAGGCGGCCCTGCGTGGTGATGGCATTTGTGGGTGCTCAGAGAGGGTGGAGCAGTTGCCCCGGCAACATCACAGGACCTGTCAGCGGCTGAGAGGGCGTGCAGGGGCCCACACACCACGTCGGCTTGTCACGTGCCGCCAAGGGCCCCTCTGCCACAGAACGTGGCCTGGTGGGGGGGACACCCTCGCAGCAAGAAGCCCGCACAGCCCCTGCCTCGTGAGCCACACACAGCCCAGCCAAGGGGTGCAAAGGGGGGAAAATGGGGCCCCCATTTCTGAGCCTGGAGCCGGCTCCCACGTCTTCCTGCCAGGGTTCCAGACACCCACTCCCTCCTTCAAACACCCTTCACAAGGTAACTCTGCCCACAGCCCCCGCTTCCTGGCCTGCCCAGCAGCTCCACCTCTTTGCCCAGCTCACCCAACCCCAGTGCACACCCCACCCCCCCCTACAACCCCGGTTTACAGGGATTGCACAGTCCAGGCTGCTCTGCTGACTGAAGGGTGCTGGTGGGCCCCAGGGACCGGAGAGGGTTCTGGCACAGGATGCCCGGAGTGGGGATGTGCTTCCCCCCTCTTAGGCCCGCCTCCTTTGGGAACTGTAAGTCAAGCAGAAACTTGCTTCTAGGCCCTCGGAAGCCTTTCACAGCCAGCCCTGAGCCCAGTCCTCACCCCCCAGGAAACCCTGAGCGAGCAGGGTTTGGAGGAAATCAAGTACCCCCACATCTCTCTCCCTGTCCTAGCCCGTCAATCTCGCTGCAAGCTAGCTAAGCCGTGGCCCCATCCGGGAGCCTCTAGCCTCTGAAGAAAGAGTGGTCCCCACTGAGCGGAGCGTCAGGCCACATTCGCAGTTTCAAAGAAGGCCCAGAACATGGTAGCGGCCCCAGCTGCCTCTGGTTGCCCCCACCCAGGGGCAGATGCCGTGGAGCTAGGGTCCTCTCCGGACTACCGCAGTGTGTGTGGCTGTGGACAGCTTGGCGGGGCACAGGCACCCTGGCCACCTGTCCAGCTCAGGGCCGGTGGCTGCCTCGGGCTCCACCCCGGTGTGCAGAGGAGGGCAGGTCCCTAGTCCTCTCCAAAGTTGCATCCGGATGGGGGGTGAGCCGGGAGGAGCCAGCCGGGCTGGTGTGGACCCAGCCTCTCTCCCTGTGGGTTGCTGGCACCTGCTTCTTTCCTCTGCATCCATCCGACCCTGTGGCAACTTTGGGTGGCTGGGCCCGTTTGCAGCTGGGTAGACCGAGGCCCAGAGGCCCAGCACCGCTTGTCCACTTGCCTCGGGGCTCGTGATGCTCAGTGGCCAGGCAGGAGCACTGCCAGACCTTCTGGTTCCGCTC